TTTTTCTCTTGCTTCGGTGAGTTTATTTGAAAAGTGTAAAACATAGTAAACGCGAAGTTGCTTTCAGAATCCCGCATCAGTCCAACTACCTTCATAATCATAGAGATCTAGAACTTCCAACTCTTGATGATCCGCGTCCAAATTGAGGACCCTTCCTACACAATAATTAGCTGACAGGCATCTTCATATTTATCCAGAAAATTCCAAGCTACATAGTTAAGCGACTGCTCACCATGCTGTCATAAGTGTGATGAAAAATTGGAGCTTATAAGAACTTCAAATTCTCACTATTTGCATCCCTGTGGTTTGACAATACCTTGGAGTGATTAGTGCATTCTCTAATATAATACAAGACTTTTTGAGATCCGTCCATATTTCGATTTCACCATCATTAATCCTAGCGAAATGTTGCACTTGAGTAGAAGTGAATAATGTGACTGTGAGAATAATCAAGTACTAGGACAGTCCTACAAAATGTTTTGACTTGTATTAGTGTATTGTAAATTCTTCGCTGGAAATCTCATGCTTCAAATTCTTTGCTCACATCGTCAGTCAGTTTCAAAGAAATTTTCTGCTCTTATGCAAATTCTGCTATTTAATACAACTGCAAAAATATGTACCTTAATGTCCGTTTTCCTTACGACAGCCAAACAAACTGTAGAAGGGACTTTTTGTAATACGACGTAAACATCAAACGATGCACTTTATTTGCACCCATTCATTACAGACAGCAAGAAGGACTAGAGAAGTTGTGCATCCCTATAAAACTGACATAAGTATACAGCTTACATGTTTACAGAAGCTATGCAAAAATAAGTAAAATTAATGGAGGGTAATAGGTCCTGCAGTGAATGCTCCTATTTGCTACTTTCCATAGTAAGGCGGTGGCGGAGGAGGTGGAGGAGGTGGCGGCGGAGGTGGTGGACCGTATCCTCCATATGGTGGAGGTGGAGGTGGAGGCGGCGGTGGCGGTGGTGGTGGAGGAGGAGGAGGATACTGTGACAGTACTGTTGCCACTTGCACGAGAATGAATATAATCAGAACAAATGGAAATCGCATTTTTCCGTAAAAATGGAAGTTGTACAGTATTAAATTTTTTGGATGTTGTTGTGTTTGTCAAATGCGGTCTTACAACGCTTACTATTGACTTGTACCTGAATGTGTAATATCATAAAAATTAGAAGTTGAAAACAACACATCACATTGAACAAAGAGTTCTACAAAGGTGTAGTAGGAATTATTCGCTCATAGAGTTTCGCCTGCCTTCCTTCCCGTTCATCAATATACTATTCGATTAAAGCATG